TTTTAACAAGGAAAAAACCTGTCATTAATATTATGAAAAGGAAGAAAAATGTTCAAGCATCCAAACTCCAAAGGGAAGTGAAAAAAGAAAAGGAAAAAAAAACGACCAAACAAAGGACAAAGCTCCAAACTTTACAAGAGACAAAAAGCATGGAGGAACGACTAATCGCCCCTACTCATCCCTCCAAAGCATCTATCCTACTTCCCATCCTTTTCCCTTTCTGCATGCCCTGGAATCGATGCTCTGATACCAGATAAGTTTCATATGACTTATCTCAATATTTCATTAAGAAAACCAGCAGAAAAACAAAGAACAAGTATTCTTAGTACTTAAAAGAGGCCGGGTTCTCTCCTTAAAACAATTCTAAGCCAAAGGAAACCTGAAAATCATGTGAATTGTGGTGTATTCTTGGAGGATCCCATTCATGAGAGATAGGAAGGTGGACATAGCGTTGGTTAGGCCGAATGACATGACCAAAAATTCGTAGTGGCCCTCATGGGTGCGAAACGCTGTCTTCGGTACATCTTCCACTCGAACCTGAATCTGGTGATACCCAACCTTCAAATTTAGTTTTGAGCACATCGCTGCCTGTTTAACTTGTCTAACAGCTCATGGATGACTGGAATTGGAAAACGATCTTACATAGTCTCATTATTATTTTTTGCACAGGAAACAATTTTTCAATATATGAAAAGGACACAAAAGTAATAAAAAACAAGCTCAACAATAGCAATACAAACACAGAGAATAGATAAAGAAAATTTAAATCCAACAGCCTCCTCTAAAGATTAAAGAACCATGAAAACTGCAGCTAACAAAGCTTGGAGAACCAAAAAACATCAAAACCTACTGCAGAGAAGGATCCGAAGAAGAAGACTCCTCAAAGAAGGCCTTGAACTCATTTAGATACTCTTTAAACAAAATAATCTGCATCTTAAGAAAAATTATTTTAAGGTGGAGAGCTTCTTCTCGATCTCTAATAAGCTCCTTATCAAGAGAGGACAAATAGGACTCCAAATGGGAAGGAGAGTGGTGTAGGCAATTTTGAGAGAAAACTAGGATTGTATTCAAGTGTAGGAAAAGTTACAAATGACCAGCTATTTATAGGAAATATCCTAGGGATATGGGAAGAACTAACAACTTAACTATGTAACTAACTAACTAACTCAAAGCTAACTAAAGTAGTTACTGATAGTTACATCAATTTTCCCTCCCTCTAAAAAAACTCGACCTCGAGTTAAGAAGCCAATGCAAAAGAATCTGGTGCTGCGTATGGATATATGTCTGCCACATTGAAGATTGGACTAATATTGAAGTCTGGAGGTAGCTGGATTTTGTAAGCATTTGGGCCGTACTTTTGTAATATCTCAAAAGGTCCCCATTTTTTCTTCTGTAACTTGTGTGTTGTACCAGAAGGCAGCCTTCCTTTAGTCAAGTGTATCATGACCAAATCTCCTTCTTTGAACTCTTGGTCGCACCTCTTTTTGTCAGCCTGTTGCTTGTACTTTGCGTTTGTCGTTTCAATATGTTGGCGAACTTCTTCATGTAATTGTTGAATTCGTTCGGCCATTGGTTCAGCTTTCAAACTGAAATCAACAGAAAGAGGAATATTAGCAAGGTCTACTGTTGTTAGTTTTGGCAGACTAGTATAAACTACTTCAAAGGTGGACTTCCCTGTGGTCCGGTTTTGCATGTGGTTGAAAGCAAATTCCGCTTGTGCTAGGGCCAGATCCCATTGCTTTGGTCTATCACTGCAAATACAGTGTATGAGATTGCCGAAAGTCCGGTTTGTTACTTCCGTTTGACCATCCGTTTGTGGATGGTTTGTTGTGCTGTATTTTAGTGAAGTATCGAATTTGTGCCAAAGTGTCTTCCAAAAGTGACTAAGGAACTTGACGTCCTTATCTGACACTATGGTCTTTGGTATGCCATGTAA